AAAAAAAAAAAAAAAAAAAAGAAAATTGAGCAGAAAATATAGAGGTCCCACATACTCGTGCTCCTACACGTGCCTAGCCTCCCCCATGATTAACATCTTCCACCAGAGTGGTTATATGTGTGACAATCAGTGAACCTACATTGACACATCATCATAACCCAAAGTCCATAGTTTACATTAGAGTTCAATCTTGGTGTTGAACATTCTGTGGTTTTGGACAAATGTTAATGACATGTATCTATCATTACAGTATCATACAACATAGCTCCAGCTGCCCTAAAAATCCTCTGTGCTCAGCCTATTCATCCTTCCCTCCCCTCTAATTCATGGCAGCCACAGATCTTTTTACTGTTTCCATAGTTTTGCCTTTTACAAAATGTTATGTAATAGGAATCATATAGTATGTTGCCTTTTCAGATTGGCTTCTTTCACTTAGGAAGATGCACTTAAGTTTCTTCCACGTATTTTCATGGCTTGATAGCTCATTTCTTTTTGGGGCTGAATAATAATCCATTGTCTGGATGTACCACAGTTTATTTATCCATTCACCTACTGAAGAACATCTTGGTTCCCTCCAGGTTTTGACAATTATGAATAAAGCTGCTATAAACATTATATGCAAGTTTTTGTTTGGACATAAATTTTCAATTCCTTTGGAGAAATAACAAGGAGTGCGCATTGCTGGATCATATGGCAAGAGTATGTTTAGTTTTGTGAGAAACTGCCAAATCGTCTTCTGAAATGACTGTACCATTTTGCATTTCCACCAGCAATGAATGAGAGTTTCTGTTGTACCACATGCTCATTGTGATACTTCTTCCTTAAGGAGACCTCATTTGGTGTGGTCAGTGTTCTGGATTTTGGCCATTCTAATAGGTGTGTGGTGGTATCTCATTGTTGTTTTAATTTGCATTTTCCTGATGACATATGATGTGAAGCATCTTTTCATATGCTTTTTTGCCATCTGGTGTATCTTCTTTGGGGAGGTGTCTGTTAGGGCTTTGGTCCATTTTTAAATCAGATTGTACTCTTATTGTTGAGTTTTAAGAGTTCTTTGTATATTTTGGATAACCATTCTTTATCTGACATATCTTTTGCAAATATTTTCTCCCGGTCTGTGGCTTGTCTTTTTATTCTCTTGACAGTGTGTTTTGCAGAGCAGAAATTTTAAAATTTAATGAAATCCAACTTATCAATTATTTCTTGTCTAGAATGTGCCTTTGGTGTTACATCTAAAAAGTCATTGCCATATGCAAGGTCTTGTGGATGTCTAAATGTTTCAGCACCATTTTTTGAAAAGACTATCTTTGCTCTGTTATATTGTCTTTGCTCCTCTTTTTTAAAGATCAGTTGACTGTATTTATGTGGGCCTCTCTGGACTTTCTATTCTGTTCTATTGATGTATTTGTCTTTTCTTTTACCAAACCACTATCTTGATTACTATAGCTTTATAGTAAGTCTTGATGTTGGATAGTGTCAGTTCTCCAACTTTGTTCTTCTTCAATATTGAGTTAGCTATTCTGGATCTTTTGCCTCTCCATATAAACTTTAGAATCAGTTTGCCAATATCCACAAAATAAATCACTGGAATTTTGATTGGGATTACATTGAATCTATTGATCAAGTTGGCAAGAACTGACATCTTGAGTCTTCTTATTCGTGGACCACATAGTTAGTTTTTCTTTACCTTGTATAGATCTTGTACATATTTTGTAAGATTTCTAACTAAGTATCTCATTGTTTTGTGTGCTAATGTAAATGGTATTGAGTTTTAAATTTCAAATTCTACTTGTTCGTTGCTGTTATATAGGAAGGCTATTGACTTTTTTGTATTAACCTTATATTCGGAAGCCCTGCTGAAATAACTTATTATTTCCAGGCATCAGAAGATATTATTTTAATTCTACTTGTAGTATAGCTTTTCTTATCAATTTGTTCTAAGTCCAGCAATGCCAACACCATTTCACAATCTAAATCTGTATATTACTCCATCTGTATCAAAATTTTCTCTTTCGCTCTCTAAGGTGGTCTGAGGACACCATGACAGTCACAGTGGTGTATGATAATTCTGAGGCAACAGAGCTCTGTGCAGCTCAGCACCTCTGCCTCAAGCCCATAGCAAAATTGTTGATCAGCATATTGCTTCCAGGGAGTCTAGAACCTGTGAGGCCCTTCTCTAACTGGGAAGTTCTTGACTAGCTGAAGAGCCTGATTTGCCCTGACCAGTTCACCACAGTTTGGCTTTGCAATAGTACAGAGGACTTCATTCGATTTGAGGGTGAGGCTGAGACCTGAAGTTTGGTTCAGATCCTGAAGGCAAAGTTACATGGGAAGATTATCAAGTAAAATGGTTTGAAAAAAGACTTAAAAGTAGTGGCTACAGATGCCCAGGGAGAATGGGAGTACTTCCCCAAGGGAAGAGAGCCCTCGTTGAGTGACGGGGCTGAAGGACCATGAGAAGAGCCCAGATTCCATATATTTTGAAGACTTGCCCTGTAAATGGTTTGCACCTAAAGGTTCTAGCAAGGAGAAGCCATGTGAAGAGATCCTTTGGGTAGTCTTTGAAAGTTTTGGGAAGATCAAGAATGTGGATATCCTTATGCTTGGTCCCTACAGAGAAGTGATGACTGACAGGAGCTTTGGGGGTTTTAGCTTTGGCTTACAGACATTTGAGGCCTTCATACAGTACCAAGAGGCAACTGACTTTGTAAAAGCCATGCAGTCCCTTTGAAGAATGAAACTGATGCTTAAAGGAGATGATGGGAAAGCTCTGGCATGTAACGTTAAGGTAAGAAGTAGCCAGAGTTTCTTTTATTTTCCACTGTTCAGGTGATCCTGAGTAAAAGCTGGAAGGAAGCATCTAGAATAAATTTTCTTAGACCCTGCCAGGCTCTGATCAATAGCTGATATATAAAGACTTATTATTTTTAATACATGGATGTTTAGGAAGAAAAACAATCCTGATTTGAACACTCATTCTTGTGCTATCAGGCATGCTGCCAGCTGTGACTTTAAAGTGATGATTCTTATAATCTGAGGCTCTGTCTCAACTAGTTGAGGGCATTAAAGAATTCTTCATGGCCCCTGTGGAATTATCTCATATGCTTATTATATTTGACAAGTTGCTGAGAGAGAGGAAGAGAGGAATACATACAATTTGAAACCACATGGAGGTCGAGTGTGGTGACTCACGCCTGTAATCCCAGCATTTTGGGAGGCCGAGGCAGGCAGATTGTTTGAGGTCAGGAGTTCGAGACTGGCCTGGCCAACATGGCAAAACCCTGTCTCAACTAAAAATAGAAAAATTAGCCAGGCATGGTGGCATGCACCTGTAATCACAGCTACTTGGGAAGCTGAGGCATGGGAATTGCTTGAACCTGGGAGGTGGAGGTTGTAGTGAGCCGAGATCACGCCATTGCATGCCAGCCTGGATGACAGAGTGAGACTCTGTCTCAAAAAAAAAAAAAAAAAGAAACCCCATAGAGAGCAGTTTTTTCCCTCTTTATTCCTGGGTCACAACTTAAATTTTCAGGATGTCTGTTAGGTAAACTGCTAAAACATAATCCTAACAAACTTGGGTTCTTTACTTTCAAAATCAGCCTGTCTACTCCATCATGTCATCTCATTGATGTCTACATGTTTCGTCATCTCCTTCTTGAAGTCTTAACCCAGCAGTGGAAAAGATGCAACTAGACTCTCCTTTTTCTGTAAATCAGTCTTTAGCATGAATTTGGACTTTCAGCTTCCAGTGTATGAGTATGTGTATGTGTGCGCGCACACGTGTGTATATGTAGCTAGTTATGTTAAAATGTGTATTTTAAAATTATGAGCTATTCAGCCAGGCAAATGATATAGCAAATACTGTCATGACCACCCATGTACCACTGCTCAGCTTAAAAAATAAAAAATTAGGCTCCATGCGGTAGCTTGCACCTGTAATCCTAGCACCTTGGGAGGCCAAGGCGGGTGGATCATGTTGAGCTCCAAGACAACATAGCAAAACCTCGTCTCTACAAAAAATACAAAATGAGTCAGGTGTGGTGGCTTTTGCCTGTGGTCCCAGCTACTTGGGAGGCTGAGGCTGGAAGATCGCTTGAGCCGGGAAGCAGAGGTTGCAGTGAGCCAAGATCATGCCACTGCACTCCAGCCTGGGCGACAGAGCAAGAACCTATCTCAAAAAACAAACAAATAAACAAAAATAAATAAGTAATAAATAAATAAAACATTACCACAAGATGAGAGACCACTTCCCGCTGTCCAGTGTCTGGTTTTAATTTTCTTGTGATTTGGTTAACCAAAAATTTTAACCTATTTTATACTATTTTGTAGTATCTCTATCTGATTTTCACTTTATTTCAAGATTTGAAAAGTTGTTTACTAATCATGATAGATCTTCTCTCTCATCAGGTTAGTTTTTGTGCATCTTTGTTCTCCCTGCACCACAGACACTTCTGATTATTTTTGTTCCCGATGATTAAAAAAAATACTTTAACTCATTTGATCTTTTTAATGAACCAGAAGTAACAGACTGACGTTTCTCAGCCTGTGCCTATGATGGCACTGTGATGGTGTCTATGACCATAATGTAAAGTAAGCTCCTCAGGGTTTTTTTTTTTTTTTTTTTTTTTTTTTTTTTTTTTTTTTGCTGGCTTTATTGAGGTATGACTGACAAGTAAAATTTTTTTTTTTTTTTTTTTTTTTTTTTTTTTTTTAACAGCTTTATTGAGGTATGACTGACAAGTAAAATTGTGTAAAGTTAAGGTGATGATTTGATATACTTATTCAAGGGTTCTGCCAAAGAAAATCCTCAAGCTTACAAGTACTGTTTGGCTGGTGGCTGAGAAGCAGTAGGAATATGAGTACTGGGATGCAGAGAGGACATTTTGAATTGAATTGATTTTGAATTACCATGTACCATCTTAGTTTTATCTTTCTGACCTGGGACATGCCCAGCCAGCTGGCAAACTTTTCTAATGAAACTTTGAATTGTTTTGGAGCAGGTTACGTCTGATACGACCAAACACTTTGGGGAAGGAGCTGTAAGGAGGAGAAATCAGGAAAGGCTAAAATTACAAGAACTAGAAGAAGAAAGGAAAAAAGAAAAGAAAAGAGAAGAGGAAGTAGCTGAAAGGTGTGTAGACCAACTTTAATGAAGATTTTTTTTCTTTGATTTAGGGATTAATCCTTTTGGATGAACAGCTAGACTTGGTAGATAACATTGAGATGGGGGGCAAGAATTGGAGCAGATTGGAAAATGCCATTGAAAGCTACAGTCTTTCAACTGTGCTGTTACAAAACCAAAATAGCAAAGCTGTTGAAAACAAGAGACTTCAAAAAAATATGTTTGTCAGGGAGGACAAATAATGAGGAATAATAGAACTAGCTAAATTAAGATGTCTGGAAATAAATGATTTTTTTAAAAAGGGACCAGAAATTTTGTAGTGAAAATCCTAGCCTGCCAACTTAGGAATTTTACCAGTTTACCAAATATTATCAAAATTACCTAGCCTACTAATTTAAAATTCTTAAGAATTTAGGGCTGGGATGGAATTTCTTCTATAAAATGTTCAGTAATCAAGCTAACTTGTACGCAAGAAAGCATGGATTGATTGGGAGTATTTTTCTTGTTGGCCTAAATTCTATCTGTGAATTTAAGAAGCCTCCATATATATTTTCTTTCTTTCTTTCTTTCTTTCTTTCTTTCTTTCTTTCTTTCTTTCTTTCTTTCTTTCTGCATGGATTGATTGGGAGTATTTTTCTTTGTTGGCTTCCAAATTCTATCTGTGAATTTTAAAGCCTCCATATATATTTTCTTTCTCTTTCTTTCTTTTCTTTCTTTCTTTCTCTTTTCTTTCTTTCTTTCTTTCTTTCTTCTTCTTTCTTTCTTTTCTTCTTCTTTCTTTCTCTTTCCTTCCTTCCTTCCTTTTTCTTTCTTTTTTCCTTCCTTCCTTCCTTCCTTCCTTCTTTCCTTCCTTCCCTTCTTTCCTTCCTTCCTTCCTTCCTTCTTTCCTTCCTTCCTTCTTTCCTTCCTTCCTTCCTTCCTTTCCTTCCCTTCCTTCCTTCCTTCCTTCCTTCCTTCCTTCCTTCCTTCCCTTCCTTCTTTCTTTCCTTCCTTCCTTCCTTCCTTCTTCCTTCCTTCCTTCTTCCTTCCTTCCCTTCCTTTCTTCCTTTCCTTCCTCTCTCCTTTTCTCTCTCTCTCGTTTCTCTCTTCTCTCTCCTCCTTTTCTTATTAAAGCAATTTTTTTGAATATAAAAAATATAGAGAGAATAAAGGCGCGCTGGTTGATTATCTGAAACTCCCGATCTCAGGGGTAGATCTCCCACTGTCCACCGTGCCTCTCAAAAAGCAGCGGAGAGATTACAGGCGTATTTTTTTCTCACCACCTCGCCTCTCCTTCTTTGTACGGCACACATTAGCTCTCTTTGCTTATCTCTCTCTCTCTCTCTCTCTCTCTCTCTTTCTCTCTCTTTCTCTCTCCCTTTCTCATTCTGTTGCCCAGGCTGGAGTGCAGTAGCATGATCTCGGTTCACTGCAACCTCTGCCTTAGCCTCCCGAGTAGCTGGGACTACAGGCTCGAGCCACTATGCCTGGCTAATTTTTGTATTTTGAGTAGAGACGGGCTTCACCATGTTGGCCAGATTAGTCTTGAACTCCTGACCTCAGGTGATCTGTCCACCGCGGCCTTCCAAAGTGCTGGGATTACAGGCGTGAGCCACCGCACCTGGCCTCTTTGTATTTATTTCTTTGAGCTTATTGTTGATGTCTAGTTCAGGAGTTTGAGTCTAGAAGGGGCTATTGGATTGCCAAAGTTTGCCAGTCAAGTACAGATGAGCCAAAACTATGGAGCTTTGAAAATTAATTTTACTTCCTGGCCCTTCCTCATGCATGTTTATTCTTTTATTCTTTCATATAAATTGTAGCCATTCAGAAAAGGAGATAAGCAGGCTCACACCTGTAATCCCGGCACTTTGGGTGGCTGAGGTGGGAGGATCACTTGAGGCCAGGAGTTCAAGACCAGCCTAGGCAACATGGGGAAACCCTGTCTCTACAAAAATTAAAAAAAAAAAAAAAATTAGCCAGGCATGGTGGCACACACCTGTAGTCCCAGCTACTCGGGAGGACGAGGTGGGAGAATCACTTAAGCCCAGGAGTCTGAGGCTACAGTGAGCTATGATTGTGCCACCGCACTCTAACCTGGGTGACAGAGCAAGACTCTGTCTCAAAAAAAAAGGAGATAAAGAATACCCTTCCATGTGTCCCTTTCTTTTTTACCAGTGGAGTGATAGGAATTACTTGAGGTCATGTCTGTGAAACTTGGCCAGAGCTTGAGCCTAATAAATATAACTAGTCCCCCCCCAAATCCAGGCTGAACATCCAATTTAGATAATCCTCTGACTTTTGGCTAAGTTCTGACTTAGGTAATTGTCCCTTCTTTCCCTTTCCCCACATTCCCATAAGGGCCTAACTGAGACAGTTCTAATTTTCAGGAAACAGAAGCCCAAAGCCAAAGCTGAGGCACCTCAAGAGCCGGACTCTTCAGAGGAGTGGGAGGAGAGGCAGTACCTAGTGTCTCAGAGGCGAGTTGAGGCACTTCGGTTCCTAAGTGTACTCCTGAGGAACATTTCAGGAAGGCTGTTGCCAAATTGTTCTTCAAGTTTGGTAGGTACTCACCTTTCTGAGACATTACCTTTGCATTTGAGCAGTGGTCTATTGAAAATTCACTCCATGGAAGACTCATTGCATCCACTGGGGCTTATTTTAATAGGCTGACCTCTAACAACCCAATAGTAGTTTACAAAAGGGATATCCACATTCTCTAAAGGAGTTGCGTCCCAACTCTTCCATTTGACTCTCTCTCTCTCTCATTCTCTCTCTCTTTCTGTTTCTAAACTTCAGGACAGTATTACCCAGACCATTTAGCTAGTGTGTCTACTTTTCTAAGTTCCTAATGGATGTAACAGAAAAATGCCAGAGGGAAGAAACGGATGGGGGGTGGATGTTAGGTGTTATTAACCTTACTTTTCCACTCATCTGCAGTAGGTTTGGTAGAGTCTTGAGACTTGTAACAAGCTCATGATAGTCTAGTCTTAAACTATTTGATAAGAAATTTCTCACCCCACAGAGCAATTGTTATGTTTGGAGAGTTTCATTTTTGGAAGGTGTTTCTCCCCCTTCCTGACCTCTTAAAGATAGCCAGATTCTGCAGATGTCCTGGATTAAAAGCCAGAAAAGCTGCCAAAGTGTTCATTTAAAAATCCATATTCAGTGTTTTAAAATATGAATAGTAAATGCCATTAGGATTACATAAATTTTATGTATATTTGCAATCTTGACCTTTTTCTCATTAGTGTGGACAATCAAACTTAGTGAAATCAGGATCAGAAAAATGTCACATTTACATTGATAATAAGGCTAGCTGGATCTCTTTTCATTTTCCTTAATGACCTCTGAGGGTGACTCCTCCTAAAGAATCTCTCTCTATGTGTGTGGTGTCTGATTTCTTGGCCTCGTAAATACTAATATCCATTATGCAGTCCCAGGTTCTAATCCCAGGTAGTGTGTAGGCACTGTGCTCTGATGTGTGTCAGGTGTCAGTGGGAGCACAGTACAAAGCCTCCAGCAGGATGGGGCCTGTGGGCAGCACCTTTCACCTGCTGTGCGGTTATGGAGAGCAGATAGCACTGCAGACATGATTGCAGATAGAACCATGATCACAGCCACACTTGCTACTTGCTGCCTTGCTTTTTACTGAGCACAGGGAGATGGGGAGGAAACTCAGAGACAGCTTTACCTGCAGTCCATAGTAAGAGGCTGGTATGAAAAGAAAGACAGTTTATCTTTTAAGCTAGTGGACCCTTTTAGATATACATTTCACCCGTCAGTCTTTTCTTGTACTGGGATTTTTCTGGGAGGGCTATAGATCATTTCTTATTCCTCTTTGTATCTCCAGCTCCTAGCACAATACCCGGAACATCAGGCGCACTGATTTTCAAACAAGTGAGAAAAGAGTCATGTGCTTTGAAGGCTATGTAAAGTGTGGTGCCTTCTCACATAAGCATGGGCATAGACCTACTCAAAACAGTTCATATTAGACTAAGACATTTAATTTTGCCTTCTATTTCCTCAGTGCAATATTGTTCCTAATTTGGATCTATCCCAGGTATTCAAAGTCTCTTCAGAACAATGTCAGAAAGCACAATTTTTCTTTGGAATTTTTTAATCTGTTTAGTTTTTCATGAGAGATTTTTAATCTTTTTCTTTGAAGGGATCCACACTGTTTAACCCACAGGAGGTCGACGACATTGGCACCAAAGCTAATGCTTCTCGAGGGAACACATTGAAAACTCTGGAGGAAGAAGAGCTAAACACTCTGCATCTTCAAAATCAAGAGGAAATATCAAAATATCAGGTTGCCAAGTCAGACAATAAGCAAAAACAAAAAATGGAGAAAATAACTAGGGATCACTTACAGAAATCTTCCCACTGCCTTGGGGAAGAAAATTTAAGGTATTCCCCTAGAAAACAGAGAACTGGAATATTATTAGGTGATGAAGAATATGAATACGGTTTGTTTTTTGAGCATAACTCCTTGGAGATTACGATAATTAAAGACCAGTCTCTTGAAAATGAAGATCACCATGGTTCTAGTGAATCCTGTTCCAAATTATCTGGGAGAGGCCAAGGCAGGAAACCTAAGATCCATGAAACAGATGCATTTTTTGACTATCTTTTCAATTATTATGAGGCTCCACAATATACTCGTATCTGCCTAGAAACAAGTCAGGCAGCAGGCACATGTCAGTGGCAGAGGGATGTCCAAACTAAGGGAGATGGATTTCAGATTAGTTTGAGAAAGCGTAGGCATCACTCAATCAATTCGAGCCAAGGGGAAAACCTGGAAAGGAAAGAACAGGTTCAAGAAAATGATTACTCATCGAACGTTTGTACTCAGGATCCTGAGCATAAACGAGGAGAAGTAGATTATGCCAAAGAATGTACTAATGGGTTTAAAACTCATTGCCAGGAGACAGCCCATAAAGCTGGTGGTCAGCTGTCCCCAACTGATGGAAACAGCCATCTGTTGGAAAAGACTCATACTTATATTGAAGATTCCAAATCCACAAGGAAAAGCCAAGTGTCCACACCCCACGAATCAATAGGCTTAGATTTACAGTTGACAGATTTCTTAGAGGAAATTAGTAGTGATTCTGAATGCTTCAGTGAAACCCTTAGTGTAAACAAAGAGGAGAAAGAGAAATCTGTGGCCACATTTAATAGTTTCTCAGAAAAAGAACCTCTTGACACTGACAAAATGATCACGCGCAAACAAAATACAAGGTTGAGTCAGCAGACCTTTTTTTCAAAGTGGAGGAGTGATGGTGAGGAAAAATACTCTAATTACAGGTTTAGGACACCAGGCAGGAAGTCTGAGTATGAACCGAAATGGATATGTTCATGGCGTAGGGGTGAAAGTCATTTCATTACACATGAAAACAACAATGACCAAATGAAGGAACAGATAGCCCCCAATTACTTTTTTGATGAAGATTACTACCAGGAACCCAGTTCCAGTTATCTAGAGGGGAGGTTTAGTGATAGTGCATTGGATCAGAAAGTGAACTATGGGCCCTCTCAGGTGCCCGTAATGTCATCAAGAAGGGCTAGGTCTTTCTATTTTGGTAATTTTCACAGAAGAAGAGAGACTCCTTGGAAGTCAGAATATAACCAGAATTCAAGAAGGTTTAGAGGATGTAATTATAACTATTTCAAATTCAATTCTGATTATCACTATAGTAGACAAAATGGTCAGGAGTATATTGACTATGGAAGCTATTCAGGAAATAACTGCACTGGTTCTTTAAATTTTAAATGTTTTGATGGCCACTTAGATCAGGAGTATCTTTTTTCACAGTAAACATGTTACAAGAAGAAAATTTAAAACCAAATGTAGCCATGTAATTAACAACTACACAGCAAGACAGCAGCATTTAAAAGCTTCAGAACCTGTGTATTTTATATTTCCAAAGCTTGCCAATACACCTGGAGTCATTTTGACCTATGCTTTCAACTTTGGCAAGAGAAATGTTTTGTATTTGACCCTGCTCAAGCTTTTAAATGCTACTTGATCCAAGGATAGACATTTCTATAGTTCAACTAAAACTTTAATTCTATGCCAGTGAAGGAGCAGATTAACATCGAGAGGGGTTGAGATGGCCCTCTATGGCTCCTTAGGTGTCACAACATCATCATTCAGTGTCATTTATCTCCAAAGATGACAACAGTGAATGAATAATGATCCTTTTACATGTTCTTTGATTTGGTCAGAAACACCACGTGCAGCAACAAACTTTCCTGAGTTTTATTTAGAAATAATTGTAGAAAAAAGAGATGACAGAACATAGACTTCTTCATGACATTAAAGGGTTGCATGAGCATCCACCAGGAGCAAATTCATCTTACTACTACATTTAAATACTCAAAGAGCTGTCTTTTTCAAGACAAAGTCTTGGAAGAAGAATCTAAAAGTGGTCCAGATTGTCCTTTGAGGTTTAAGTGGATAGTATTTAAACCCATTAGCAGAGTTTTTTTTTTTTTTTTAAGAACCCCATATCTTTCCATTTTAGAAAAACAGCATGATTGAAGTAATATAACCAGTGGAATTTGCAAAAGGAAATATTGAAAAATTGTGGGGCACCAATAATGTCACTTGAAAAGAGAGGATGTGACTATTCCACTTCAGGTTATGTAATCCTTTCACTCAGGGCTGGGTTACTTCAGTCTGTAAAAAGTCACTGAATATTCCCCAAACTGAACTTTATTAAACAGTAACAAGTGCCTCTCTTCTCAATCCTTAGTGATGCCATTGAGTTTTTAAAAAGAGTCAAGAGAAAAGCCTATAGTTTTGTAGCTGGAGAAAAATGTGTATGTGTAGGATTTGTAAACTCTCAACATAAGCAATTGATCTTTTTACCTACTAGTTTTTGACTTCATAAATGTTTTTAAATTGGGATATTTTATGGATTCTTGAAGACTTACATCTTAGTGCAGTGCATGTTCTATAGAAAGCTCAGCTGATTCATTCTGCCTTACCTTGCATTTAGGACCTCAGGGGCAATAGATTACCTTTTTTTTTTCCTCCAACAAAACTATGCCTGACCTGGTAATTGAAGACATTAACGAGATTAGAGACTGTTGGCAACAGGAAAAAGTGATTTTAAATCCACAGCAGCAGTAAAGGGCAACACTTTGATATGACATGATTCATTCATACACCCTTAATTTGATATTCTGTAGTAAAGTACCAGCTGGTAGAGCCAGGTAGAATGCCAGTCATTGTAGCTGCCCAGATTATCACAATGTGTGCATATAATCAGCCTTTTGAGCAACCTGGTATGTGAAAGGGCTACAAAATCTTATTTATCTGAAGGAAGAGCCACAAGTTGTTTCATCGATCTCTTCTAATCATAGAGCTATGTTAGTACATGCAAGAAGTCAGAAATGAATGTACCATAGCAGATGCTGTTTATTATTAATAATATAATAACCAGTGGATGATTTGTTGGCTCCCTTGGGTTCAATTCCACTTTCAAGCCAGTGACTCTTCCATCAAAACTAGATTTGGCTTGTCAAATCTGAAAAACACCGCTCATGGGGCAAGTGCCTTGACTTAATGTTCAAAGTACTGTTGTCCAGAGTAGCCTTTTAAACCACTAACAGCTTGTATTTTGTCAGGCAACTTTCAGTAACCAGGTATTATTTTCCTTTGACGAAAACCTGCCTCTTAATTTTTCATGTGTCATGCCATTAAAACAAAGAATATTATGGGTTTGTAATGAGAAGCAGCTATGCTTGTTTTGAAAAAAACTCATTGTCACTTGATTTTTCTTTGCAGAGATTTTGGACATGAAAACAGTTTGCTGCTCAGTAGTCAGACATAAAAATAAATTGCAGAGTACAGCATGAGCAATTTTTATGTGTATTAGAACTGGTGCTAAGTCATTTCTATATAACATTTTTGTCTTTTTTTTTTTTTTGCTAAATACCATCCTGGGACTTAGAAGAAAGTAAAAATACTGGTTTTATGTTTACATTCTGTATAACCCTAGACTTTTATATGTCTTATAAAAGAGTCAGCCTTTTTGGTGTGTAGGCCCTAAATGAGGAAGACAACTTATTCTGTACTTTTTAATTGAATGGCTTAGTAAGGAGTAAAATAGAACTAAAATATTGTAACCACCTTCTTAATGAACACTGCTATTTTTTGTTGTGCTAAGTAGTGAATAAGTGTTTTCTCATATCTTTTTCTATGTCCTGTTAAGGGTCTGAACTTTAATCTTTGTCTTAAGGTATTTTCATGTTTTTCTTTGTATGGGTTGCTGGTAGTAATGCAAAAAGACTAAAAATATGTCAATGTGCTTTCAATTTGTTTAAATTTCTCAGGTAGAAAGCCATGTAACCTGGTAATTTTGAAAATAAGAACCAAATAAACATATTTTTACTTGTTGCAAAATTGTTTAAAATACTCATTTTTAAATAAATGCTGGTAAGTCCACCTTTGGGGGAAAGTTTCTACTTACAGTATGCTGCTTTGTGCTATTGTTGATGATCTCTTTTCTCATTTGCATTGTTAGAGAAGTAACACATATTCAATTGTCAGATATATTAAAAATAAAATTATCATAGTGAATATTATTTGTTCATTTATCACATGTATTGGCTAGCATGTTGCACATCCACAATAACATTTTCTGTGGAAATACAGATGCCTGATTTTAATATCGTTTCTATGTCACTTTTCCTGTTTTGTGGAAACTGACATTGTCAGAGTTCATGGGACTAAAGACCATAGTTTTCATTTTGGACAAACTGAAATCATGATATTTAGATTTAAGATGATCCTCCCTTTAGCACATTTTATCAGTGCTAATAAGAGGTAGCAAAATTGACTCCATGGAATTTCACCTAATTCCTTCAGCCCTGGGTGTCTTGGGCCACACATAAAATACACTAACATTAATGAGAGCTGATGAGCTAAGAAAAAAAAAAAAAATTGTAAAAAAAAATCTCATGTTTTAAGAAAGTTTACAAATTTGTGTTGGGCTACATTCAAAGCTGTCCTGGGCTGCATGCAGCCCGTGGGCCATGGGTTGGACAAGCTTGCTCTAGATGTTTTCCTCTTGGCCTGTTTAACTTTGCAAAATGAGTAGCCTAATCTTCACATGCACATGAGGTTTCAGGCTGCAAAGGTGGGCCCAACTTGTCTCCCCTACTCCCTCTCCAAAGCATAAGGCATAACATGTTACATGGCACAAAACAGGCACTCAAACATTTGGTGAATGAAACCAAGTGGGAAAAAAAAGAGCACATTAAAAAAACTCACAAGTACCTGCAATGTGGTTTGATAACATGAAAAATTGAAATTTCTTTGGTTCAGGGAGTATATCTCTTGTAAGAAAACTCTGCCAATGTTAACATTAAAATGACAAAACACTAATAGGTTGTCTTTGTTTATACAACTGACTGCATATGCAAATCTGTTATTCTTCTTTTGATATGAGGTGAATTAACTTTGCTACTGTAAGGATCCTGATACTTTCCTGATCAGAAAATTCATTAACATAAAAAAACCCAAAACCCTTCCTTAGTACTTGGCAATGACAAAGGCTTCAGTAACACTACTTCTTAAGAACCTGGCTATAGACTTCAAGGTGGAGATCTGCCATTTACAGTTTAGAAAGTTCTGATTTAGGCAAAACTTTGACAAGTCACAAAAAAAGCAATTCAATTCACTATGTCTTAACAGGACAAGCTGGTATTTGGTTTTTGGTGTGGGGTCTCTGTGAAATTTTGCCGCTTGTTTCTTTTGGAATACAAAAACTCTGCACTCAAAAGTGAAACTGAATTTTAAGCCAAAGTAAAATGTCTGAATCAGATTCCCTAGAATAAGGTTTTTTTAAAAAATTTAAATAAGTCACCACACTATAGTGGGTAAAACCATTTTTATTAACTGACCAAAGCATATCATTTTGTTTTCTGATTTGAGGTAAAATCATTAAACACAGTTCACAAGAAAATACAACGACTATTTAACCACAATTACAAGAGTTTGAAATCTCACTAGCTGTTCATATAATACTTTTACAAATTCATACAACTGTATAGTCTACTTAAGCTTAGTGTTAACCAAAAGAGCAATATCAAAGACCTAGACACTTGACTACTACTTTTGCAGTGGGTATAGTTTTATAACGACAGAATAACTGTTACCTTATGAATATATTTACTTTAAAATCCACTTGGCTAGTGACTGTACTGTTTCCTCGTGGTTCAGGGGTGCGCATGAAGGCTCTTAGGAGAGCAAACACCTGTTCCTATTCTGTATGTCCCTCCCTCATTTCAAATGAGAATAACCAATTGAGGAAAATAACCAAATAACCATTGCCCCACCATGAACATGGGGCTTGGGAAGACAGTCCTACAATCTTCACCATATATTTAGGTTTTTAGGCCAGCCAGCTGTTTTTTTTCAAAGCTTTCTTTTGAATGTTCAGATCCTATTTTAATCCTAACTATAGACTACTGTGTTTGTGAAGGTGTCTGAGTGTCTATGAGGGCAAGGACAACAATGCAGTCCAGAAACACAGAAAATATGCTTTTTTGCAGCTGAGCTCTGTTTTGAGATTTCATTTTGTTACTGGACAGTGCTTTAATCAATACCAAAGTCTTTGGAACACTGCAGATTTGCTTTAGAGGTAGATAAAACAGAAATCATGCAGTTAAGTCAATTGAGAAAAAAAAAAAGGGATTTGTTATCTTTAGAGAACATCATGACTAAAAGTTGATCCTTTGTTCTTGGTGCACATTTAAGATTTTTTGGGAAATACCCAAGTCTTCCTTGTCTCTCAGGAAAAACACATTTAAATTCATCCTGTACTAACTACAGATAGAAGAAAAACAGTATTAACATGTGTATTACAGCACTGCAGTTCACTTTCTGGATTTGTGACACACAAACACATCATGCATTCTAAGACAGAAGTTAATTTTATTAGTGTCACTAGTGATGTTAATTAAAAAACTTACAGCAAGTGCTCAAAATTTTTCTAAATATTGTAATCACTATGTT